CCGTATAAAAATAATATCATGTCCGCTCATCATTAGCAATGCAAATTCCGCTTGCAACACTCTAAATATAGATGCAGACTAAATCAAGAAGCACTGTGATTCTCAACAAAAATGTCCATTGGGTTTTAGAAGTATCATGTTCGCAATGGCTCTCCTCAAACCTACACTGCACGTTGTTGCACGGATCATACTCGGTGGCCACTACTCTCGGTCCGTGACTTGTACACAAGTAGCGAAATGATAGTTCAATGAGCATAATCCGTGTGGCTTACCAATTAGAATTGATGTTTACGCTATAAAGTATACACCTGTCAGAGATCAGTATCAGTTGATCAAACTCAATAGCAAACAGGGGTCCTAGAAACATAACACTAAATTAATTGACACCCTGTGAGTTGAGCTTAGCTCTATATCTATGCAAGTCATATAAACGTGGGGGATGAAGGCCAAAACTCACTGTGCATAGTTTATGAGGCACTGTGTCAAGGCTCATCATGTTATCATGAAAACTGATATGCTACAGTATACAAATGAGTAAGATTTTTAATGCACTGTGTCTAGCCTTTTTATATCATCAAGGTTGCTGTACTGAAGTACGCAAATGAACTAGATCAAGGAATTCAAATGTCCCCTGCTCGTTGGAAGGAAAGAAGTAAGCATTAATAATGTTTATAAAGGCGAAACGGTGTTCATGGTTTTTTTCTCTCCCCTCATTGTTGAATTTGCCAGCAAACAAACAGCACTACTTGCGACGAGAAAGCAGAGAAGAAAAAGTGTTTGTAAGAGATTGTAATTTCTCAAAATGACCAAAATGACAAAAAGATCTTGGAGTTCGTAGATGCAAATAAACAACACTACTTGCGGCGAGGAAGCAGAGAGTGAAAGTGTGTGTAATAGATAATTGTGATAACTAGGCAATTGTCCGTAGAAAAGTTCTCGATACTTTCAACTGGCATACGTTGTAGTCATATTGGCTTGTGATGTAGTTCCAGATTGTGATTTCTCAAAAATGTCCAAAAAGACAAAAAGATATTGGAGTTCGTAGCTCTCACGCCAACTGATGTACCGATGAGCCCAGCGATGCATCAGGACTATGTGTGTTTAATTTTTCGCGGCAAGATATTGAATATAAGTGTCGATTGTTGGCAGCTGAGCGTGGTGAAGAGTAAGCACACTGTCAATGAAAGAAGTCATTTAGACGATATCGCTACTTACGGATGTGCAGATATCAAAATCTTAATCACACCTAAAAAATAAAATATAAATGGTCCACAAACAGGGCTCTTCTTGATCTGGTATCACAACTACAAGTGGTGATGTAGGGAGTTGTCGTTAACCTTTCCCGGCCCACTTTTTATACCATTGCGGGATCTTGATATAGGACAGACGCCAGGTGGCGATTTGTAGTTTTACTTTATATTTTATGCTCATAATCTATCTTTACATCGACCATGTACGTCAGAATACAATACATGGACTGGGTTCTTTTATGGAGCGAAAAGGACGAGATATCAAATGCACTAATCTTCCGGTTATTTTGTATCGTGTTGATGTATTCATTCAAACTTGGAATAGAGACTTATATAAATAGAATGCTGATCCCCGATAGTAACGAAGATCAGTAGACAGATAATATCTGTCGTTATAATAAACTTCGTGGGATCTGTTGACAAAAGATAAACTTACACTACAGTTTAAAGTTATTCAAGCACAGCAAAAGTGTGTCACAAACGTTTTAAAAGCTTCTGGCCAAGTCTCATTTGGTTAAGTAAAGTAATAATCGAGCAAAGTAAAAAAATAAAATGACGCACGCTTGTAATAATAACGACTTATCTGTTTAAAGTATAACGACGCTTCGAGGACAAAAATAAATTTGGGCCAAGGAAGCCCAGCACTCAATCCATGTAGAAATATGACCACCAAGTTGCCATGTTTGAGAGCGGCCTTTTAAGCAAACTCGGAATAGAGACTTGTATAAATAGGGATAATATTATTTATTTCAATTTGGATAAAGTTTTACATATCTACATGTACATCAGTCTTCATATTCGTAGGAGGTTCTGGGAAAATTCAAGGGCAGTTGAGATTATCGAACTGCCGCGAGAAGCTCGGGGCGAGTGATGCAATGATGGAAAACATACGGTGTGTTAGTTCACGGCGATGAATACAGAATTCCTAGATGGCGATTTCCGGAGTAACGAAGAACAGTAGATTAACTAATATCTGTCGTTATAATAAACTCCGTGGTATGTGTTACGCACTGTTGACAGAGGACAAACTTACACTACAGTTGAAAGACATTTTAAGCAAAACTAGGGGTGTCGTCCGTTTTTGAAAATCACGGATTTTAATCTAGTTCAGACAATTAAAGGATACGATTGCACTACAGAGAAATGAAATTCAAGCACAATAAAAAAAGTGTCGCACGCTTACAATAATCGCGCATTCATGAAGCTTCAACATTGAAACCTCTGACTAAATTTGACCTAGTTCAGTCAATTAAGAGGCTAAATGTATTTTGACGCAAAAGTAGATACACAATTATAAGAGTCGTTTTGTTAACCTAATTAAACCTATAGGGTATTTACTATGTTGTATTCCTGGGTATCGTCGGTTAACAGCAACCTGACGAGAGAAGGAAATGGATGTTGTATGCAGAAAAAAAATTTGATTTAGGAATAAGACTAGGAATCACACGAGCCTGCCAAAAAGGAAGCATATTTTGGGTACAGCATACTTTAAAACGAGATTGGCAATTTATTTGCACTACCGCCACGTTCGGTTGAATGTGTGACGGTGCCAAGCTCGGATTGGACATGTACGTGTTTTTTTAACAGCTCAAGTGTGAGTATCAGGTCTCTGATGTATACAAATGCAAAGGTCACAACTTAATAAATAACATCTATTTACTACAAATATGACCTATCCCAAATACATTTATACCTTCTAATAACAAGTTGGACTCCCTACAACTACATAGAAATGCACACACACGGCCCGGCATCATGTATACATCTAAATATTACTTTTACACACAAATATACACACATACGAATATAGATAATAATGATGACAGATGATGGAAGTGCACACAGGGAGCGAATATATCTCGTATCGTATATAGCCTCTTATTTAAAATTGATGGACAATGGGTGTCAAATAATGGCAATCCTTAGTATGCTCCGTAATAGATTTTAGACCGACAATCACATGACAAGCTCACAGACAGATACTAAATCGAGGAAGTATTCCAAGTGTTGCGAAGGGCGGTCCAGGTATTCCAGTCTGACGGATCATTATTGACATTGACAAGCTGTTCAAGTATCTCATTTGCACACAATAGGCAGTTCAATAAACGTACCACTAATCAGCTCACAACCGTATCTACCTATATCTGTAGTGCATCTCCTATATTGGTTTTAAGTGCATCTCCTATATGATCCCATGAACGACACAATTTTTTAAAAGTCCATTCACATATCAGCGAAAGCAGTGAAAAGTACAGGGATATTTTTGTTTATCAGACGCGAATAAAATCTGCCATGAAGGTGTCAAAAATAGTACATCTCCTATATTGATTTTAGGTGTATCTCCTATATGATCCCATGAATGACACAATTCTTTTAAAGTCCACTCACATGTCAGCGAAAGCAGTGAAAGGCACAGGGACATTCTAGTTTTATCAGACACGAATAAAATCTGCCTTAAAGGTGTCAATTTTTTTTCTCGTTGATATAAGTAACTTTACGTCTCGAAGCATCAGCCAAGTTTTCTTTCCGACTTATTAGGCGTAAGAGACGCTAAATTTAAGAGCTACGTAGATATACAACGCTATAAATTTGGAAGTTTTTAGGGAATATATCCTTTGGTGAACCCCACCTAGCAAAAACTGAACATCGATGATACATTGCCCGTCATCATTACGTATATAGCTTCCTCTTGCACATGTAACACACACATATGCAACTATAAAACAATATCAAGGAAGACAAACAATTATACTGCACACACGGAAGGGTGCTTCGGGGAACAATAACTAAACTTGTTTAGAGAAGGTATGTCAAGTGGAGCCTTTACTTATATTTTGCAGTTGATTTTGACACCGATAGTACTTAAATAAATGGAAAACCTGTCATGCAATAAATATTTTGAGCGGATACCAACCCATAGGTGGACATTTCCTGGATAATTTTTAAACATCACAGGTTTCTTTATTTATTCTTTCGCACAGTAGACAGTACTGTACAATAGGCGTACCGAACCAAACCCGTTTAACTCTAACTGTAGAGGACATATACATATATGAATGAAATAATGACAGCATGCTGAAGAAGAATAAAAAAAAGTACAACGGCCGCAACGTAAAAACACTGAGATATTCCAGTTTTACCAGACAAGTACACGCGGAGAGTACTGAGACCACTCGGTCCAATGTTCGCGTTCACTACATTGCACTCAGCAAGTAACGAGTCTATCCTATTTTCTTAACCCCCCTGGATCAGCCTCGGATATATCGAGAATTTATAGTATTTTCCACGTACTTCAACATTCATGAACCTTGGCACGAGGTCCTCGTGCACTTAGCTATAAGCCAACTTACATTTGAAAACCGGCGCCCAAGCAAGCGCCTACCACCTTAGTCGCGAGTTTATTGGTCCCAAAAGGTACCGACAATTGCGTACCTGTTTCCTCATTGCGCTGGCAGGGAATATCGCCCAAATTTATTATCAAATTTGTGCTAAATAAATATATAACGTTCGTGCTGATCTGGGGCGGGTTTCCTCCATTTTTGTTCGCTTCGTATTGCCAAATTATCGGGACAGTGCGTTACAGCCGCCACTACTTCTGATCTTTCGTTCTATTAAACTAAGGCGTAAAAAATGACTTGAAACCATTCTCATGTAATTCCAGCAACTGCTAAATGTTCGCGTGCAACATAAATTGTAACGTGTGAAGATACAATTAAACTTTGATACTGCTGACAACAAGTCGCTTGACTAGATTTGGCCTCTTGAGAGCGTTTATTACCTTCACTATGGTACTAATCATTCGATCTGGTTCGTGATATTTACCCAGTGGCAATGCCCACTAGTTCAAGTATTAAGCCGAGTCCTACGCGTAGATGATGTTTGGCTCATGTCGTGCTTGTGAATTGGCCTATATCCGCGTGTGTAGTACCATGAGCACTCTACAGCGCTTGACTGATAATAGATCTACAAAATATGTAGTGCTTTGAGTGTGCTTAAATTTCAAATCGGCGTCAACCGAGCTTGAACAGTGATTTACCGGCAACCCTGGTGAAATACTTTCAATGACGATCGCAAACTATCCAACAGAATAGGTCCAGGGTAACTTCACGGGATAGCTGCTACCGGTAGAGCAAGCCCGTGATATTATCACATAGCTCGGCAAATCGAGACTATATATGGCGGCCAGTACATTTTTTGGCCATTGTAGATATGTTTCGCTGCGTTCAATCGGCATATGTACGATATACAGATATTGCTAAAGAAATATTTAGTACTCAATGGTAATGCGTGTAGAAGTGTCGATTCGCCCGCAAGACCGCCTCATTGTTCAACGCCCTGCGCATCTTTCGATTCTGTTTTAATCAAGGATGATAATGTGATCACAAATCAGTTTCGGATCCGACATACCACTCTATGTCAGGAGTACTAAACACGACTCTTGCTAAAATGAAATGGTCGTGAACAGACCGAGAGTAAATTATGAAATATTCGTTCAAGCACATTGGATAAAAACACAAAACAAAATAAGCCTAGTACGCCTTCAACCCCCTGCGATGATTAAATTTTAGTGGTTGTGAGTGGGCCTACATGAGCAAAAGGTCCCTCTCACGCGGAAGTGCTCATTTCACTCTACACACCTTTATTTTCTCCTTGACCTTCACGACGCGCTTCGCCATAGTCCCACACTCTTCCAGCGAATCAACCCATTCGCGACTGATTTTTACTCGCGGCTTGTCTGAGACAGTTCCTCTGCAACGTTTATTAGGGGGCGGATGTTTAAGATAATTGTGCAGATACTCTACACGGGGTTGTCATGTGAAACACCAATACGAGATAAAGCGTAGTGATTATTCATACAAGCAGCGTATCTTTCAGAACTGTCCAACCCAACACAATCAGCGCGATTGCGAGCGTGTGCATGAATACGTGTATGATATGATCATTTTCCTATATATTTAATATTGAGCAATTGTCTCACTTGTAGCGTACGATATAAAGTGCCAGAACGTATTCTTCTGTGTGCTTTGCAGGGTATTGTAATAGACTTGTCAGATCCAAAATGGTTCTACTAAGGGTTACTAGAACCACAGAAAATTATAATTCCGAGTTCGACCAAGTGACGTAGCGAGAGTACGTCTGCACACGCGCACAGACGAGAACGCACAGTAGTGTACCGGTGAACGTGTTTCACAGTCCACACAATTCAATCACATGCTCATATGTACACATCGGTTAAGTTACCAAGATTCATGAGAACCAACATTTTTCAGATAGCAGCGTATCGACTAGAAACACCATAACGCATCGCCTTCACATACTTTAAACGTGGAAATCGTGTCAGATTGCTTAGCACATTCTGAAACGCTTTCTCTCCAACAGCCTGAGCCTCCGCCTCGTCCAACGCGTAGCCTGCATGCGATCAGAGAGATTAAACCGACAGTTCTCTATTAATGAGGTACATGTTGGCGTAAACGCCGATAAATGTGGCTACCTGATGTACGTGCACTGTACGAATATGCCCACAGGGCGAAGCAACTGTGTGGACGACGAGTTCATGTCAAATAAAGATGAGCTCAAATATGTGTGAAGCGCTTTAAATCAATGTCGACTCATGCCTTCATTCGTTAGGTGTCGATTCCCAGGCTCGCTTCATCCTCATGCAGAATCCTAATCTCATCTCACGAATTAGCATCCACGAATAGCATAGTAAACACGAGGCACACGTACACATGCAGAAGAAGATATGTCTTCGCAATCGCGTATTTGTGCAGGTTGTCAGAGCACACAGAGCATCTTCGGATAGAAAACTATATACATGCACACACAAACGAACAAACGCACAGACACACAGATAGTTACACAGACACACAGACACACACAACACACGCGCACACACAACACACAACACACAACACACATACACACATACACACAGACACACACAACACACGCGCACACACAACACACATACACACATACACACAATCTGTATCTATATATATATCTATATATATATATATTTATATATATATATATATATATATACATATACATATATATATATATATATATATATGCATATATATTTATATATATATATATATATCTCTCTATATATATACATATATACATATACATATACATATATATACATATATTTATATATATACATAAATATGTGCATATATATATATATATATATGTATGTATATATATATATATGTATATATAGATATATATATAGATATAGATATATATATATATATATATATACTATATATATATATATATATTATATATATATATAGTACTA